TAAATTTAAATTAAATTTCTCCGACCCCTTACCGTCCCTCCTCCCAGGTGATAACAAATGGTCTCTAAGGAGAATCCAAATGTGACCTTAACGCATGAAATTATTTATACCTTGAATACCTCTGAAACTAGGAACATCAAGACCTTGTTAAACTCACTGGCCAATTCAGAATAAAGTCTTTAGTGTATCTCTGCTAAGCTGGGAATCCTTCCTAATCAGGAAAGCTTCCGATCCAAGTTGAGTGTCTCCGTCTCATTCTGGAATATGATTCTATTTGGAAGCAATGACCTATTGCTTGTTGTTTTTGTTTGTTTGTTTTGTGGCATTCTGTGTTTTAACTGAAAAATGTTCCAATTCGACCGCTATTAACAAAAATAAATAACAATTGTAATTCGTCTGTCTAGCCCATCCAATTCTCGGAAAAACAAACTTTTTTGTGCACAGGGAGTTTACTGTATTAAACGGATTTGCCAAGACAGTTTTATCAGCTCAGAAGTACAACGCCTTTTGTTGTCTGAAAGTTTCTATAAATTGATGAAAATTCCGCAATAATTCAGGAATTGACTATTCCAGCAAGTCGTTAGGCAATTCTCACATGAGTATTGAAAGGAATCTGAGATTGCTTGGTTTGCTCTTCTTTCCTGTGTGATTGGTCCGGAAAACTTGCTCCGCTTTCTCAACCAATCAGATGCAAAACTAAAACCAATCACGACTTGGTCACTCGTATTTTCGCGCGCTTCACTCGAACAGTTCGTTTTGAATTTGAGTTCTTATCGGCTCCTGGAGATATCTTCCTTTCATTTCATTGGTGATTATTTTGGTTTTGCTTTCACAACACTCAATCGAAAGCAGCTCTATGGGCAGGCATCGTTAGCTTTATCTCCTGGTCTCTACACTGTCCATTGCTTAGTGATGGTTATTATACGAGAAGTGATTAGTATTGGGTGAACCGCTGTGACATTGAGTAACACAACTACCATGAGACTTCTTCGAATATTTACTATAACTAAGCCCAAAATATTATTCCTGTTCGTGATTGGTTAGTTTTTCCAGCGTGTGCCAATAAGTGTGTGCTTGGTTTGGGTTTTTCAGCATGGCGTACCAGTGCATCAATGCACTGCCGGTCGAGTTGATATCCATCACAACTCCACCTAGGAAAGACATACTATTGTTTAATACTTCCTAAGGTACCTAAGTTTTCATGAAGGGGACCTGTCTTAGCGCAATTCTAGTAAGAGTGTCGAAGGAAATTTGGGATTGCAGTGGTTTAGCTTCACTGCGCCATTTGATTGCTCTAGATAACTCGCGCCACCTTCTCATCTAATCAGATGCCACACTAACCCAATCGAGTTTTGATCACTCGCACTTTCTAGCACTTGAGGCCGGCTTCCTGAACTTACTTCGTATACCATGGGCTCCCTGTGAAAGTTACCTTTGTCCCAACTGGCTGTTCTGATTACTTTGGGTTTTTCTTTTAAAGATAATTAGTCAAGAAGCTTTGTTTACTTTTCACGGATGTATTAAACTAATTTTCACAGATTTCTCTCCTTGACATAATTGGGAAGGGTGTAGCATCCTAGAATTCAAAACCAAATCAGGAATATTTCTCATCTCTTTATGCCACAGGGGAAGAGGGTAAGTGTTACCCACAATGCTTTACCATCTCATGAGTCTGTAAGGTAACTCAATGTAAGCGACTCTAAATCATCCTGATGCAGCGCAAATGTCACTATGTAAACGGTACAGAAAACCTATGGTTTCTTACCTATAAAATCGTTACTTTTTCCAACATCATGATCCCAAACTGTTAATTCTAAACTTTTCTTCGCGAGGTCACTGTGCGCGATATCATAAACAAATTCCTGTTGGGACAAAACATAATACACAAAGATGCCATTTTATCAACTAAATTGATCATTTAAATCGTCGTTAGCCCTTTTTTAAGACGAAGGGCTGAAGCTCGAAACATCGGCTTTAGAAATTCTCTAAGGTGGCCAACTTACTTTATTGAGTCAGTTGATAAAACCAAATTAACTTGTTATACTCTCCCACCGACGCATCGCCATAGTTTCTTTAGAAACTTACTCCCTTTATGATATAAAACTGACTGAGAGAACTTAGTTACTCGTTAAGATAAATGGTGGTAGGAGGCTTTAGCAAAAGGTAGCTGATAATTCTTACCTCGTTATATTCAGGATTTAGCGTCTTTCTCTTTACACTCGTTCTTCTCTTGGATTTTTTGTTTAAATCAGGTTTAAGGTAACTGGAAAGATTATAGGAAAAAATCAAAACCAAGAAACAGAAATGGGAAATAGCAACATTGTACATAAAGCCTGATACTTGATATGACGTGGTATACAGAAAAAACACAGTGATTTATTGACACTCACCACTTGACATACGGATCTGAATAACCATTAGCGTCCTTGGCTGCCAGACTGGCGCAGCGAATCACACCCACTATAAGTTGATTCTTTTGTGATTTGAACTTCAGTGACAGTTGAAGACGTCCAAGATCAGGTTCTGGAGATTCCTGTATAGATTATCAACCTTTCAGTTGGTATAATGTTATCGGGGAAAGAAATGCACAGTACGCACACTTCTTTCTTCTGTTCCCTATTGTCTGAATAAGGACACTTCAGCATCCAGTTTCGGGAATATGAATATGTCGTTTTTGGATATAACCATGCAGAAAGGACAATATATCAGAATTTAAACAGGGTACATCTCAACGAGGAAAAAAGAAGGGCCTACCACACAGCGCACTCTGCCTCTGTACTCCATTATTCTGTCACGAACATCCATCGAAGTCCATTCTTAAATCGCCTTTAAGGAGAATCTCATTCCCGTATTCCCCGTTTTCCAAACTCAAAAGGTTTGTTTGACAAGAGAAAAAAGGGTCCGACGATCCCTTGGGCACCTCGCCCCACTCCCCTAAATCTCCCCATACAAAACAATCCATCACCTGTGTTCTCTTCCATTGGCCAATTACTGCACAATGAAACCTTTCTTTCACAACACTTCCATTCAAACGACTCACACTTTGGTAACGACCTTAAAAAATGCAACCTTCGTATCTACACAGATACATCTAAGAAGAGAAAACCTTTTCTATTCAAGGCTCTTCTCGATGAACTATCACAATTTGAAGGAGATGCAAGGGCTCTAAGAGCAAGAAAATGTAATTGTTCACCACGGCAAAAAATGATGTACTTACCCGTCCTTCTTCAATCTTTTCCAAGATACACATATTTTATGATTGCACCAGTGATCCAAAGAGACAGAGACATGAAAAAAAAACAATGTGATCCCAGATCATTTCATGTCTAAAACAAGAACACGACAACCTACATGAAAAAATGGGAATATATAATGACACTATCTATACTTACAGAACCTCTAGAGACTAGTGACCTTTTCAAAGACTGAGATGGTTTACTGTGAAAAATCTTTAGAGCCACACAAGTCTCTCCAATGAAATTATTGCGACCAAGTTTATCTTCGTCCAAAACCTGAAGTCTGTGAAAAGGAAAAAATGCAACGAAATGTTTCATGATAGGAATGACTGCCAATATAGTCAATACTCTTGTATTAATTTTAGGCACACTGGCAAATAAATTCTGAGACCCTAAGAGAGACTAGCATGTAATATCTTCTCACAGCATCACCCCTGAATCAAACTTTAAGGTCACAATAATAAAGGAAATGATCACCGCCTAAAGAAGCCCTTGATTGTTAAACAAATTCTCTTTGAACCGCATCTTACGAAATGTGCAGAGAACAGTGGGGAGAATTTGCATACTGATGTTAGGGTGTAAAGGGTCTAGTGATATCTACCTGAGAGACTTCTTTGATATATCATCATCTGTGATCCCATGATATACCAATACTTCATCAAATTTCGGATTCAGGGTCTTGTACTTGGTGCGAGTCCTTAATTTGTTACTCTGGGAATGAGATGAAGAAGAAAAACCAGATAGAAAGCTAACATCTATTCGTTTATATTAAAAACCACCAATTAGCCATTATAAATCTGGTGATTCTTGCATGACAAGGAAAATCAGACAACAGAGCAATTTCCAATTAAGTGTTGAAAGTAATACAGCACTCTTTACAAATGATTTTGCTTTACTTTGCTCTGTGATTGGTCACTTTCTTAACCAATCAGTTTTAAAACTTGAACCAATAATCAATTGATTCATCACATGTCAAAACTGATTTTTTAAAAAAAGGAAGAAAAAATGGTTTTACAATTACGGTACCTAGTGCTACTCGATAGAGCTTCTCAATACTTTTTTCGTTGTTTGAATTAGGTTACGGCAGTCAAAACTACAACAACAATACTACAACAATTTTAGCAGGTTTACCTTACTAGCACCAGGAAGAAGGTGAATTTTAACATAAGGATCAGATGTTCCACTGGAATCCATGGCTTTCAGGCTCTGCAAATAACAACTATCATCAGCATTACCTTGAAAATTATCCCTGCATAAATACTACCCAGAGATGACATGTCCATACAAAGCTATATGGTTTTTGGCTGACTGTGTAGTTCAAATGTAACACTCACCTTGGCACATACAACTGTCACCTGAAGCTGACTGTGTTGTTTGTTATAATGGACATCAAATTCCAATGTTCCTAATCCTAACAAATTAATAAAAAAAAAAAACATAAAGCATTGGTTACAACCCTCTATTAGACAGATTACTATTCTCACAGATTAGAAGTTCAAATCAATGAGTTACTTTCAATTGAGGACAGCAACATTTCAACTGCCATTCCTCATTAAGAAAAGTAGCCTAAAGAGCAGGCATAATTTTGGCAAACAAGTGCACAGTGTTTTCTTAGCAAAAATTATGGCGCCGTCTTTGATTATAGTGACAGCAGAAGGCTGGGGAGAGAAAGAAATTTGTGCCAAGGGGGTCAGCGACAGTAAAAAATTAGCAAAAGGGTGGGGATGGGGGACTGAGTCCATTGATTGCACATCCATTATGGGGTGCATTACCAACAATACTAATTTTAAAATAACAAACAACAGATCAAATTCAGTGGTGGATATCCATTGCATGGTTCATCTCATCCACTGGAAATGTGGTCATTGTGGAGGGGGGGGGGGTGACAACTGGTAAACCCAAAGTAACACCCCTGGGGTGAGGAAGAAATACAGATTAGGTCAGGGAACTGAAACTGAAAAAGTATTCAAAAACTAATTCATGCAAGATCCCCCCTTTAACATGACACATACACCATAATCTATAAACCCCAGTGTGATGCAAAGAAAGGTGAGGAAATGGAAATAATGTAAACAGTAGTTATATATTAATAGGCACAATTATGCACACATTTTTATTGGTTCTCAATAATGATCCATCCATGCATAGATAATGTCATCATTGAAAGATTTTTTGCTTCATTATTATGTACCATATTTATTCTATTAAATACTGCCATGTTTATAAAATTTTTCATGATTCAAGTGCAGCATTTATTCTAGGCAACAGTATTTATTTGCAACAACAACAACATGGCCACAGCGTTTATTCAAGGTGGCGTTTAATCAAATAAACAAGGTAAAACAATTAGATATCATGTTGCCATGTGTCCGTTCAGTGGTAGATCACAGAAGATGTCAAAATGTGGTAGGAACATCGGTGACATACTTCACCACTATTAAGTTCTTATCACCTTTTAACATCATCTGTCATCTATTACTGAACAGACGCACAGCAACACAAAATCTTTTGGTTCACCAGAACAATGCACAGGCACAGTACTAGTGCACCTGGGATGTCTATTGGGCACTCACCAGCATCACCAACATCCTTGCTCACAGAAGCCTCTGATTCTTTGAAGGTTCTCACCAGTTCATCAATGTCTTCCTCTTCTGTGTCCTGCTTTCTCACCAGTTTCTTCACCCTTGCATCAACTTCATCTCTCAAATCAGTTACGTGACCTCTTCCAGTAAAACTACCACTTTTTTCCCTTTTAGGAGATTCTGGCTCAGTATGACTGCTGTCTGGAGCTAAACAAAAAGAACAAATTAAAAAAACACTCTGATGCAGGCTTGCAAAGCCATTACTACCATTAGAAATGTTAATCAATAAAGGCAGAAACATCTGCAATTACAAGCTATATTCAAGAGACATAAAGTAAACATTACAATGTCATACTGAGTAAAACTCATATCAGCTTAGCAGTTCCTTTCAAAACCTTTAACCCTTTCAACCCTGAGAGAGCTAGGCCAGCATCTAATTTCTTGTTACAGTAATCCTGCTGAATTATTCATTAAGAGCATGGGAATACATAAAATGATTGCCAACCTAGGAAGCTTTGATTGTAAAATGAATTATCCAAGTCAGCACCAAAGAAAATGAATAGAGAACAGTATATAAAATACTCACTAAAATAATCTTGAGGCATAAGGCATTAAACTGAACAACATTACCACCTAAAATTTGCAACTACATGGGAGAATCTGTTCTCTGGTTTTGTTAGCTTTTGGCATCTTTCATGTATATTGAACTACAAAAACACATCATTAACCCTTTCACTCCCAGAATCTATTTGTGTTTCTCCTTAAAATGACTGCCATACAATTCCTATGACGTTAGTTCTGAGAATCTGTTATTGGATCAACTAAGAATCCCCTAATTGATATTTCTCTTTATTCTTATCACTTGTCTGCTTGATATTGTATGGATATTGTGAGGAGAAATTCTATCTTGGTCACCCATAGGAGTTAAAGGTTAACTAGGCACTCTGTATTATAACTTACTGAGCTTTCCATTGGCCTGATGCAATGGGCTTGTGTTTGGTGATCTACGAGGCTGTTCATCTTGTGACATTGCAAGAGTCCTCTTACGGAAGGGAGGAGGAGTGTCTATATTTTCTAAGATGGCACTACCAGGCATTGAAAGTTCTGTTGACTTTCGTCTTGTATAGGGCATCGTCTCCTCAGAAGTGGATGACCTGCCTCTTGAAGATTTACGTGTGCTTGAACTGTCAAACAACATTTCATCCGAGGAACTGCTGGATTCCTCATCCTCTGAGTGACTCTCTTCTCTAATACCACCATCCAGATAGTCTACAAATTCAAAAGTAAGAAAAATTAGCTGTTAACAATTTCCTTACAAAGAGAGGGAAAAAAAAGGAGCCATGTAGCAGGTTTAATAAACATGAAGCAAAGTAAGGGTGTTGTTTCTTCTCATGGATAATGCTATTGGTTCACTTCTCTTCCTTTTTTTCTCCCAGCCTTAATTCAATTTGGGATGTTTACTGCAATCAAGTATTAATAGTAGACTCCTCTGATAGCATTTTTTCAATGGGTTTCCTCAGCTTGTTTTAGATATAAAGGCAGTAAGTTTCTAAATAAACTGACATGTGGTGCTGCATTAGTGGGGGAGAATAAAAAGATAATTTGCTTTTATCGACTGATAATGTAAATTGGCCACTATAAACAGTTTCTGAGCTGATGTTTTAAGCATTAGTCCCTCATTAGAGCAAATGGTAAGGGACATAAAGCTCTGGAGCTCTGGTGAAGGGGTTGACACTCTGAATAATAATTAATACTCTTTACAATGGCCAATTTATATTATCCATTCAGTTGATAAAACCAAGTCATATTGTTAAATGTAGTACCCATTTATACACCTGGGTGGAAAAAGGCACCATAAGATTCAATTCTTTCGCCCCAGTGAGGGTTTAAACCCAGACCTTTCAATCTAGAGTCCAGCGGTACCAACCTTGTGGCTACTATATCCAACTTTTACAGGGAGAAAGAGAGATTGAGTGTATGCATTAAATGGAAGCTGAAAAATATTCACAAAGTAAAAATTCATTACCTTTAGATTTTGAATAACTTGTCCATGATTGATTGTATTTATTTGATTGTGGGAAAAAAATTTGGTCTGAGCTATTGGAAGATGTTGTGTCCTGTAAATCAATAAAAACTCACATTTAAGAAAAATTCAATGTGTGATGCATTAAGACACCTACAAATAATAATTTCTTTAATAAGCTGAATGAAAAACACTTTAATTTATGATTGGTTCTTACCTCTAATGTTTTGGAGGACAGACACATTAATGACATTATCAATAACAATATTTCATTTCTTTTTTGCAAAATAATAGATTCTATGTTGCCTTGGGCCTATTAAGTCATGGATCACAGATGACGTCAAAATGTGGTATTAGAACATTTAAGTTGGTAACACACTTGCCTGCACCTTGTGTGCCACTTTTTTGTTCACACTAAATTTTGATATCATTTGTGATATATAACTGAACAGATGCACAGCAACAAGAACTTATTGGATAAAGAGGGACAGGTGACAAAATACTTATTTCAAATATAATTTTTATTTTGTCACATGAGAATCAAATTCATGTCTCCAACCTGTTTGGAATTTTCTCTTTTTACGTTACACTCTCTTTTGCTGAACAATTCATCAATGTTATGACAATCCTTTCTCTACTAGAAATTTCAAAACTCACAGTTCTGTTAGAGGAAGTACGTCTTCCTGTTGCTGGATATGTATATTTGGGTATAGCTTTGAAAAACCATGCACCAGTTCTTTTCCAGAGCTGTAGAAAGAGAAAATATCCATACTACATTACACTTGAATGACCCAGAACAGAAATAAGAAATAAAAAGCTAGTGGTAACTGCTATTATGACACTTACCTTAAACCTTTGACCCTTAAGAGTCGACTGACATCTAATTTCTCCTTACAATATCACCCCATAATCACACATTAATGTCAGGAGAAAAAGGAAATGATCACCAACTAAAGAAGGTCTAGATTGTAACACAAATTCTCCTTTTCATCACCTTAGGACATGTATAGAGGACAGTATGGAGAATATTTAACCCTTTGACTCCCATGAGTGACCAAGACAGAATTTCTCCTTACAACATCAATTCGATATCAACCAGATAAGTAATGAGAATAAAGAAAAATATCAATTTGGGGATAATTAGTTGATCTAATATTAAATTCTTGGAACTAATATCATAAGAATTGTATGGTTGACAATAAGGAGAATTACAAATTTGATCTGGGAGTTACAGGGTTAACACACTGATGTTCAGGTGTAAAAGGTTTATTCAGGGAGAGCTTTCAGTTACCCTGGCATGGTGACATCTCAATATGGCAGATTCAAACCTCTCTAAGGGGAATTCCCACATAAAAGTGACGTATCATGACTCTGGAAAAAATCTGATCCAGGATAGCTTAAAGAAATCCAGATCATCTTGCCTGGTGGATATTAATTTTTTTTTTTTTCAATTTTAATTTTAAATTCCAGCTCTTCTCTTCCCAAAGATTCACAGAGTATCCTTTCTCAGTTTACAGTATTCAGTAATCCTTGGCTAGGGAAAGTTTCACAGTCATGTGACCCGGTAATTGTAAATTTACCTCTCTGTGTTCACTGCATAACATGCACAGCCAAATGTTATCACCATCACTGTCTTGAGTCCTCAAACCACACTTTTCACAAACATACTGAAAATAAGACTTGGTTTAAGAAATAAATTGTAAAATGCAACCAGTTCTCATTATCTGTGAAAGCCAGTTAACAGCCTTATAAGACCATACAAAATCAAAAAGTTTTTTTTCTTTTTTCAGTTTCCATGAATCTACATCCAAGCCAACAACCTTTGTCTCAAGGAAACAGATATCCATACTATAGCAATTAGCTGTGAGATAAGGGTACTTGGTGATTTCCTCAAGAAGACCTTCTGACTTCAAACTCTAACACCCTACAGTCACAAGAAAGAATACTTTTGTTCTTAGTTTTGGCAGAACTTCCACCCAATCAATGCAATTCCTAAACAGCGCTCCAAGCTGCTATCATATCAGCTGCCGAAGTGAGAAGAAACAAACTCTGGCAATTAAATTGCTAGCCACATTTGCCACTTAGCAACCTGTTTTTGGCCACCAAGTAGCAACTTAAAATGTATTTAATACTGATGCTCTAAATTAAAAGCAAGATAACCTTAATTTAGAAAACATCGAGGATGGTAAAAATGGATTATTTTCAAATGCAAATGCATCTATCACAAATTCTATGAGCTCTAATCTGACTTTCTTTACATCTTTGGTGAGAATAACAAAGAGAAGGAATTTTGCATTCAATTTATAATAAAACTTAGCATCAAGAGTCATATTAAAAATTAAAAATTAAAAAATTTTTTAAAGTTGTGCCAATATATTATATCTGTTCTTTTTTTATTTATACCTTATCACAGACATCACATCTCTTTGAAATAACTTTAAGTGAGAATTTGGAACCACAAAGAAGACAGGTCTCTTTTCCATCTCCGAGAGCATTGTTGTGCATGTTTTCCAACTTCTCCACAAGACGCCTTTGAAAAAGAAAAACACACTAGTTCAAAAACACTGATTTAGTCACTGGTATAAGACTTTTTAGTGGCTGTAATGGATTAATAGTAACACTAATATAAACAAAAATATTAATAACAATAACAATTATCATTATGATGATGATAAAATTTCTAACCTTCACCCTTTAACTCCCAAGATCTCATCAGTAATTCTCCTTACTATTTGCCATACAGTTCTTGTGATGTTAGTTTGGAGAATTTGGTATTGGATCAACTTATAATCCCCTAATTGATATTTTTCTTTATTTTCATCGCTTGTCTGCTTTATATTGTATTGATATTGTAAGGAGAATTTCTGTCTTGGTCATTCATGAGAGTTAAAGGGTTAAATACTTAAAACACTTAAAACAAGTACACTTGTCTTGATAACCCTCTGCTAACTTCTTGTTGCAGTACCCGATTTTTCCTCTTTACGATTACAGTATAATATCTTGCATACAGGTTGTGAGAACAAAAAATATCTAGAGTTTATTAAAATATTTTAGAATTTAGTAAGTAGCTCATAATCATGCTAAAAGTTAAAAGTAATTTGAAAGTCAGTCTTGACCTAGAGATGAACTAAAGCAGTGAGCTGTGAAATTTTTATAAAAAGTCTTTCAAATACTTCTAAGATATGATTCACATCAACAGTCAGATATTCCTAAAAAACTATTAAGACTAAAACAAAACAGGAACACTAATAGTGCATACTTGGCAATACATGTACAATACCAAAGTAATTCTATCTAGTGGGATAAAAAATGTAAAAAAAAAAAATTTTTTTGAAATAAAAATATAACAAGGTTAAAAACCTCCCTAGGGAGTAGTAGACTCATACAGTCAATTGTTAATCTTTTTTTTCAGACTTCTGTAACCACAGACAAATTTGTAAAATCACATCCTTCTTTTCCGCAAGCTTTAAAATTAAAGTAAAATTCCAAATTCTAAAATTTTCTCATGAAATTTGATTTTATGATTGGGATGACTTCTGTTACACAAAAGCATTTGCATGCATAATCGAGTAAAACTTTGACCACACAGTATAAAGGTTTCTTCAATTTGGCAAATTATTCCCAACAAGAAAAAAATCCAGCTTTTATTTCAAGAGTGTGTGTTTTGATAAATAGTTTTCAAAATTTTGATCCCATGGCAAATACATGTATATAATTGCTATATTAAGATTTTACACTATTCTGTGAGTGACTGTGTGCATTATTGTCAATTGTACACAGCAACTAATAATTTATCATGAAAGATACTTAGGTGGAAATGGTAAAATTCAAAATTGTATAGTTTATTCAAAGGAAATGTTTGGCCTTGGGGGAGCAGAAAAGATTTTTTACCATCCATCTTTTAATTTCGAGACTGATTGATGCATAGTGTTTTGTTCTAAAAGATGTAGCAATCAGCATTGTGTCAACCTTGTAAACTTCCTCTCCACCCCTTTCATAATATTTAAATAACGACTGTGAAAAAAGTCTGGATCAGCAGGTGTGAGATTAAAGCAGCCTTAGTTTTGCTTTTAAGGCAGAACTGAGATAAAATTATTTACAATAAACATGCCAGATCATCCTGATTACTAAGCCTTTCTAAGTATTGATTTTTTTTTTCTGAAAAGGAAATATAAATTTAAACTAATTCAAGTCTGGTATTGAAATTTGAAAAATGGTGTTTACTCTATCAGAATTCTGGCGAATTTCAATTGTCCTTTGATTAGCTTATCCGACCAAGGTGACAGTAAAGTCCAATCACGTCTGCGAACAGAAATTTGTCATAAATCCAATGCATCGTCTCTTTAATTCCATCTGACATTTTGATTTCAAGTGTTTTACCGGAAAAAAAATTTTACCACAATAAAATGCTGGAAAAGGGCATGACGTGCAAATAGATACATTATTCACCACAACGAAATGGAACGTTTTTTCAGCGAAAGAAAACAAATTATGCTCAATGTAAACATCAATTGAATGCAAATCACGGCAGACAAAGCGTTAAATTTTAATGCAGAATATATGTTACATTTTCTCCCTTTCTATACACAAAGAAATCTCATTCTTCCTGATCCCTAATGATATTTTTAGACTGATATAAACTACTTACCCGATACGTTCTTCTTCTGCATGGCGAATTCTTTCCGCTCGTTCCAGAACATTTCTGATGATCTCTTGTTCGCTTTCCGTGATATCCGATTTTCTACCTGTTTTTCTTGCGGGTGTACTTGAGTGAAAAGACCATCCTGAATTCAACCTAAAGGCAAAAAGAAAATATTCGGTCGATATAGTACATAATAGTTTGTTAATCTAACAGATTGTTAACTGATATCGAAAAGCACGTAGTCAACATAAGCTTATTAAACTATATTGTAGCGAAAGTTAGGATTAAAAGATTGCGCCTGATCGGAGAGCTGCAGTGACAGATCTATCAAGAGAGTGACAATATAATAACTAACAATAAATTTTCCAAAGACTTAGGCCATCTGGTGCGAGTTTTCTTGAAGAATTTTTTTAAGACTTTCTTAGGGCGGAAGCACATCGTATTTGCATGGCCAAAGCGAGAGGCAAAACTCAAAGTAAATGGCTGGCGACCACTGACAACATCTCCAAACCAAAGCAGCAGTAGGCACAGCAGAATGAGAGCAAGTGACCGAAAACCAGGTGTTTGCGGCGAAACAAGTTTGAATTATTTAGCAACCGGAAACACAGAGATGATTCGCTGCTCTGTTATATTCCCTGTGCGTGAGTTGATAAACAAGTACTGAGTAAGTAGATTTCTCCTAAGGGCTAATGAAGTACTGTCACGGTTAAGAGGACTGATTTAGGTACGGGTATAAACAAATTTACTCACTTCGCCCTTAAAGATAATTGTCGATCGTTGGGGCAGACCCATCGTTGATCTTCTTCACTAGCAAATTCTCCCATTTCTTGCCATTCAATCGAAGGATCAGTTGAGCAAATGTAGCGTCACGCGGGAAATCGCGTCAGTTCTTCATCGTACGTGAACGATAGGAGTCAAATGAGCAACACACTTCTTTCGTAAATCCCTGAGCAAATTGCCTCAGTGGAAAGAGAAACCACAAAAAGACTTGATCCGTTCGGTAGAAATGCTTCTAACCATCAAATACGGGGAAAATTCACACTCGCCACTGAAGTCGTGATTTTAACATAATTCTGTTCAGTTCGAAAGTGTTTTCCATGACTCCCTGTACCACGTGATAAAACATCTGTGAATATTTATTATAAGAATAATTTAATTAATGATTAAGAGACATTCCAAACATGAATTCAAAATGGCTGCGTTGTGTTTATCAAAAGCAAAATGCAAAACTAAGATTAATTTGCTTTCCCTGGGCTGGTGGAGGAGCGGCGTTCTATGCCAACTGGGGTAAAAAGTTTGCAAGCGAAGTAGAAGGTTTGATTTATAAATTTTGGAGAATGCTATTTTCACTCAGAGCGATATGGAGTCGTGGATAAAATGATAAAGAAGATTCGATTTTAAGTCTTGCGTTGATATCATTGGTTGATTAAAGATCGATCATTTTACAGTTTTTTAACTATTTAAGAGTTGCTAAAATGAAAGAGCGGTGAAAGTGTAGTGCCGGTGGCTGATGATTTACGAGGAGTTTTCAGTTGAATTGACATCCTTCAAAGCCTTCTGAAAGAGCCTTATTTTTCTGACACTTTGCCTTGAATATTCAGATACTTAATATTACATTGGTTAAAAAATGATTTTTGTCGTTGTAATTAAAATCTGAGTTCATATTTACAACATTTACCAATATTAAAGTCTATCATGCCTCAATCATTGTTTATAAAATTTGCAACATTCAAAAAAAGGTGATCTCAGACAATAGGCCTCTGATCACATGTTAACAATTTACGCCTTAACCATATTCTCCCTACTCTTCTCTACGCATTTGCACTGGTGCTGACAATGAGAATTTGTTTAATAATCAAAGCTTATTAGATTGGCAATCATTTCCTGTATTCTTATGATGTCATGAATGATTCATAAGTATTATACTATAAGGAGAAATTAAATGGTGGTCACACTCAAAGTTTAAAGAGTTCATCAACCACCTTGATCTAGAATTTATCATGTTACACTGTTTTATCCTGAATTTTCAACTTAATGTCCACAGTGCATGGAGTTTGTTTGCCTGGTAGAGAGAGTAGGTTCAAGGAATCTTTCATTATTGATGACTGGGAATCATTTTTAAGTGATTTCTGTGAGGATGTTCTGGAGATTTTAAAAGGAAAGCCATTTGCATTTTGGGGTCACAGGTTTGTGAAACACTTAACCTGTTACTAACCAAAGAAATGAATATCAAAGCAATCTCTGCAGTAATGAATACTACCAGTACTTGAGTAGTAGTGAAAATTAGACCTGAAAAAATTTCAGACCTGTATGGGATTTGAACCCATGACCTCAGCATTACCAGTGCATACCAGTGCAATGCTCTACCAACTCTACTACCCTTTTCTATTTTCTGTTTAGAAGCAGCAATATATTAATTGACCCTTGCCTAACAACCTGTCATTTTTTTTTCTAGTCTGGGAGCCAGATTGTGCTTTGAAGCAGCAAAGTACCTGAAACTGTACTACAACTCACAGCCAGTTCACTTGCTAATATCATCAGCAACTGCACCCCAGGTCAGTAAAAAAAATAGTTTTGAAGCTCATGAACAACATAATCGTAAGTTTTGACTGTAGTGCATGTTAATTTTAATCCCTGGAGTTACCAGTTCTCTTACTAATGAAAAGCAGTTCTTGCAACAGTTTTCCTTGGTTTGTATCATAAAGGGTTCTTTCCATGGCTTTATGTTGGTCATATTTGATTTTGACCCTTAAAATTTTTTGCGTTAAATCTTGTCACTTATTAATTTAGTTTCTTTAGTTCTCAACCCTCAGGTTTTGGGATTGAAAAAAAAGTTGAGTGTTTCTTGAAAGATGACTATTTTCTAGCAACATAATTATGAAGTTTAGGAGAATTAGGAAATCCAGCAACTAATACACAGTGAGAGGGGGAAAAGAAACTTCTTTTAATCATCAGAGGGTTTTTAAGAATCAGGGTAAAATACAGTATTTGATTGGAAATGTGAAGTCCATTTTGGTTTGAAACATTATGAATTTTGAAAAATAAAACTGTATTGAGAGAGATCTTCCATGCACTGGAAGGAAAGGAGTACATGTTCCCTTTTTCCTGACAAAAATTTAGAATTTGTTAAAAAAGTCGAGATGCCTAGTTCTTTGAAATTACTCAATATGCTCTCTTAAAACTATGCACTTATATTCTGGTAAATCTCTCTAAATGTTTCATGTCATAGAGGCATTGATTCCTCTATGAAAACTAGAAAGAAGGTATACTAACCATGTTCCATGAACAAACCATGGTCCCTCTTTGCCCTAATATTTGTTTAATGATATCTATCCCCCCTAGAAACATAGTGCTCATGTTCTCCTGTTCCCTAATACCCCTGAGAGGCACCCTTGAAATAACTTATCACAATAAAAAATCCTGGGCATGTTCATTAAGTCCCAACATCCTTGCACTTCAAGGAAAATATGTTTCAAAGTGCCTGGCAAATTCATAAGTTTCTTGTTTTAAAGATCAAATGATGTAGTTCACATGCCTTTCTTTTAAATCATTCTTTCTCACCTTTCACCTTTAGGTGGCAAAAATAACACTAGATGTTTCAACTCTAACTGATGATGATTTGATTAAAAAAATCAGCAGCTGGGGAGGAACACCAAAAGTATTGACAGAGAGCAAAGACATGATGAAGATAGCTGCACGTGTGTTAAGAGCTGATCTCACGCTGCTGCAGAACTACAGGTGACACGGAAATGTCCATCCTACCCACCCTCTGTAATGACCTGTGATGAGTATTATCATTTAAGATCAGTATCAGTACCCATTCCCCCCCCCCCC